AGAATGTGGTCTGGCAAGAGAAGGGATCATTTCTCAACCTCTAGGGCCTATAACCAATTCCTCTGAGGCCCCCTGAAATCCAAACCTGAGCCATGAGCTCCTGGGGTGAAGATGGTGAAGAAAGGTAGGAGCTACTTCCCCACCTCACCCACTGCAGGCCTCTGAGCTATCAGCTGAGCTAGAGTGGAAGCAAAGTTCTCACTGGCTCAGGATCGGTCCACAAGGGCTTCTCTACAGAGGCTCAGCTGTGTCCTAATTCCTGCCGCCATGGTCCCTTGCAGAGCCCTGAAATCACTGGCAAGTCAATGCCTGCATTAGAGTTGTTGGGGGAGCCAAATGGCAAAGGAATCCTGAGGAAGAAGACCCTTAAAGGTTAAGTATCAGGGCTGTGCCAAAAGTCAGGGCTGGCTTGAAATCGACTGGGCAAGGGCAAGAGAGAGAGAGCTTGGTGGAACCAGCTCTGAACACACAAACAGACCTGCTTGGCTCCCTGCCCATTATTCTGTTGTTGACCAAGCAGATCTAGGAACCTTTCCAGGATCTCAAGGGTCTTCATTTTGCCCATACTGCAAAGATAACCTAACTCCAGCAGGAACAGCAAGAGGTGACTTTAAATGAAGGAACTGGCTATCCAGAGAGCAACATGAAAGGTTCCAGGTAAGCCAGAGACAGTCAATGGGGCTTTCATTCCTGGTGCTTTGTTCAGATGGAGCAAGAGAAGAATGCTGAAGAGGGACAAGTAAGCAGGGTAACAGACATGTAAAGGAAGTGGAATTAGAACGAGGTACTATCACCATTATTTCCAACATCTGGAAATCAGGGCTGCAAAAGGCAGCAAAGGCTGGTAGGAGAAGAAAGCCTGTGGACATTTGGCTTGAGGACAACAGGTCAGGGTCTTACAGAGTCAAGGGGGACAAAGGCAAGGCTCAGAAGAGGGGCATATGGAGAGAGCCTGGGAACGCACCTTTGAGTTCCCTCTAGGCATGGGCAATAGGTCTTGAGCATCAGTCACTTGCAGAAAGGAGGCCTGTCTTGTCCTTGAAGCTTAGTCTTGTCAGTCTATAGGGCCCTAGAGCTACCCCTAGGCCTGGCCCAGCTCCCCACCAGCCTCACTTCACCCTTGTGGAAAGCTTTCTCCAGAGCTGTTGTTTGAAGTTCCAACCAGCTAGCCCCACCCTAGCATGAAATCTGAGACTAGGGATAGAGCCCTCAGCCTTTAGCTGCTCTGAAAATCAGTCCAATCTCAAACTAGAAGTGAAATACCTCAGATTGGCTTCCTACTCATTCTTTAAGGCCTTATCCCAGCCCTATCTCCTCCATGAAGAGTCCCCAAACCCTCCCAGTCGACTGGGCTCACTTTTTATCTTCCTCCATCACCATAAAGGCTGCAAATGGGCAAGAAGGTTTTTTTGGCATTTAAGGTCTTTTCCTTTAATTTGGTAATTAACACATGTTGGTTGATATTGTTGGTTATGCTTCTATATGTCTTTTATCTGTACTAACTTGAAAGCTCCATGAGGGCAGGGGTCATGTTTTACACTTCTCTGCATTACCCACAACATCAAGCAAAGTGCCTGACACATATTAGGCACTCAGTAAATGTAGATCAACTGGATAAATAAAGTTAGAACCTATTCCTGAAGACCAGGGAGAAACCCTCAAAAAATCAACAAATAAATGAAATAAAGTGAGTCTGAGGCACAGAAAACAAAGGGCAGGCAGCCAATATTTCTTTAGTGCTTACAGTGTGTTAAGCACTAATAAGTGTTTTTATATGTTCTCACATTAGTCATTACAACCAATTCTATGTGCTATCAGATCCGTTTTTCAAATGAGAAAACCATCGTTCAGAGATGGTAATTAACATTCCCAAGGTGGTACAGCAAATGAGTAGTGAGTGGATCCAGGATTGAAACTAGGTCACCTGCATGTAAAACCCATGCTGTGTCAACTTTAACTTCATGCCCACCTCAGGCACCCAGCTAATTTCCTGGTTTACCCATAACCCAGTAGGAATAAAGGGAGAAGGGAAGAGAGGTTTGATTTGTTCCCCTTCCATGGCTCTGCTATTTCTATAGTTTGCTATGATACATCCACTCCCAAGGTCAGACACAACATTCTAGAAACTGTACCACAGTCGGTAGCTCTGGCTATTTGGCAACAGGATGAAGTCAGAGGCGGGAAGTTGAGAAAAAGTTCTGATATATAAGGCAGTTTGCTCAGGGTTATCTGGTCAAGCAAATGGCCCAAGTGCCTGGCCATCTGGTCATTCCAGGGGCAGAACTGTTCTGGGAAGAGCAGAAGTGAAGAGGTTACACATGATGTTCTTGGACAAAGAGCACATACACATAGACACAAACACACACTCCAGGGGCTCAGACCTAGGCTAATTAGCCTCTAGTCTGTGGAGTGAGAGCTGATATATAGTATCTGAGTTCTCTTTGTGTTTTCCCTCTCTTTCCACCTCAACTTGGCCTTGGTAAGAGTCTCCTGGCACATAAGGGAAAAGATAAGCTCCTTTTGGGCTGTCTTCTCTAACTTTGACAGCTGCTTTTGGGTCCCACAAAACTGCTGCTGGCAGTCAGAGTCTGTGGGATACTCTGAAAGCACTTGCTTAGGGAATCACGTGAAAAACTTTCTTCTTCCACTTGGGTTGGGCTGGGGGCCTCCAGAAACCGTTCCTTGGATGTGCAGGCCTCCCCACACAGACTAGACAGATGTGCTGCCCCAGGGCAGTCAAGACAGACAGATAGGACTGTAAAACAGCAATGTCCTAGAGTAGAAGATGAAGAAGGGGACAGTGCATACACGCTCTATCTCTTTCTTTCTCCCCGGAGTTTGGTCAAAAAAGTTCCAGTAAGAGGAAAAGCCTCTTTGCCCCGCTGGTTTCTCTCAGGACCCAGTGTAATTTCTCCAGGAATCTTCTCCCGAGGTAACAGTCAGCGGCAAGCAGCTTCCACACACAGCAGAAAACTTCAGTCCTAAAAGTCCCCCAAACTCCCCCCCCCTTCTCGTTCTTTTGTTCCCCACTGCATTGCCAACCAGGCAGCTCCCGGCTTCCCACACTGGACTGTCCTCCCCCAACCCCAAACCCTAAACCCAGCCCGCGCCTCCCAGCCGGGCCTGCCCGCGCCCCAGCCCCTAGCGCCCCGGCCGGCCGGTGGTGGTGGTGGTGCTTACCCGCCTTGCAAGGATCTTTGTAGTTGAGGGGCTCCGAGTCGTCCTCCTCTCCCAGGTCATAGGTGTAGTCGGCCAAGTCCAGCGACCGGCCGGGGCGCGGGAGCAGCAGCAGCCAGAGCAGCAGAGGCAGCGGCAGGCGGGTGGCCACGCCGGGCATGCTGG